GCCAATGGCCCTGTCACTGTGATCTACCAGAGCGACAAGAGACCCTCGGACATCCCTTCGCGATTCTCCGGATCCAAGTCCGGCACCACGGGCACGTTAACCATCACTGGGGTCCAAGCCGAGGACGAGGCTGTCTATTACTGTGGTGGCGAAGACGGCATCCGTGCTGATCTCATGGTGACACTGAGCCTCAGGCAAGCAAGACCTTGAGCGTTGCAGAGATTGGTTTTATCTTGTCCTTCTTCTCAGCCAGGCAGGATGCTCTTGCCAGCTTTGGAGTTTTCTCTTTTCCTCCTGATGCCTTTCCCCATGTGCCCTATATCTCAGGGCTATGATTCTGTCCCCAGTGATGGGGCCCTGGTGCTGGAGAGGCCCTGGCTGGACTCATCTCTGCTGCCCAGTGTCCACATGAGGGGCAGAGGAGCCTGGGACAGTTTTAGAAGCTGGAGCCCTTGGAGCTGTCTGGAAAAAGCTTTGCTGTGTTTCTGCTCTACCAGGCTGAGTCTCACCCAGGGCCCTGTGGTATTGCAGCCCCCTGGATGTGCAGGGCTGGGTGTGTGGGCAATTGCCAGCCCAGGAGCCTCAGGCCCTGCAGCTGGGCAGGGAGAGCTTCTCCCTCAGCCCCTTGCCTCTCACATGGGTCAGGCTCAGCTGCCCCCAGTGTCCGTATCCCTGGGGCAAACCGGGGATCTGCTTCGGGAGTACCAACAGTGCTTATGGCTGGTTCCAGCAGAAGACACCTGTCACTGTGATCTACAACAACAACAACAGACCTTCAGGCATCCCTTCGCGATTCTCCGGATCCTTGTCCGGCTCCACGGCCACGTTAACCATCACTGGAATCCAAGCTGAGGACGAGGCTGTCTATTACTGTGGTGGCTGGGACAGCAGCAGTTATGATCCCATGGTGACACAGAGCAATGGGGAAGGGATACAGAAACCCCACCATTGCAGAGATCATTTAGGAGTCTCTGCTGTCCCACCATCACCTGTCAAGGCAGGGCTGTGCTTGTGAGGCACTGGCTGACCCTCGTTTTCTCCGCTATCTCCTCTCCCTCTCCAGGTTCCCTGGTCCAGGCAGCGCTGACGCAGCCATCCTCAGTGTCAAAGAACCTGGGAGAAACTGTCCAGATCACCTGCTCCAGGCTTAAGAGCAGCAGCAGCTATGGTGTTGGCTGGCACCAGCAGAAGACACCTGGCAGTGCCCCAGTCACTGTGATCTACAACAGCAACCAGAGACCCTCGGGCCT